TTAAAATGCTGGTTTTAGGGAGGACTCGCTCATAATTCCAGTCAAACATAACCCGACAAGAAGACAACAAGAAAACCAGAGAAGCAGATCTGGTTCCAATTGTTTATTTGCCACCAAGGATGGATGTTTGCCTTTCTTTGGGGGAGCCATGGATCTATACCTCTAAAGCAGAGGTGTCGAACTTGATTTCATTGAGGGCCGCATCGGGGTTGTGTTTGACCTTGGGGGGCCGGGTTGAGCGTGGCCAGCTCGACACTCGTGTCCAGGGGCACCTGTGGCGGCCCGAGCACTCTGCCAGCGAAAATGGGCTCCCGAGCTTCCTTTCTGCCTGCGACGGCCTTCTGCAACCCTTTGCCAGCCAAATCGGAGCTCGGGAGAGGCACCGTGAGCCGGTCCCTTGCTGTTTCCAGGGTGGCCAGAACCAAGTACCCTGTGGGCTGGATGCGGCCCACAGGCCTTGAGTTTTGACACCCCTGCTCTGAAGTCCGCTAGGCAAGAAACGATGCTTATATGTCAGTGAACAGGGAAGTATGCCCCAAAGACATCCCAATGATTGGTATGTTGAGACAATGAAACCCTGCCTTCCACTTTAACAAATGGCAGGCGTGAATTCTACCGAAGGGCAAATATAGCACAGTGTAAAACAGTCCTATAAAAATCAGAGTGCAGCCTAAAACGCTACTAAAGCTGTGGTGTTCTCCGAAGCAGGTGGCCAGGGTTAACTGTGATGCTCCAAGTTGCTTTTAGCACCACGATGATGGAAACTAATTATAGTTGTAACACAAAAGCATTTGAGGGGCGGTTTGCAAACAGAAGACTTAATTGCCATGTTGGGGTTTTTTCTTCTTCTTCAAATTCCAAATAAACACATTAATTTTGTTGAACAACACACAAGCGGTTAGGGCAGGTCTTCGCTGTGATTCCCTGTCTCCTTTTCTCAGGGTCTGTGTAATTAAACTATTAGCCTGGAGCCCCGTGCATCCAAACTGAAGAAATCAGTCTGGAGCGGGAAAGCAACAACAGGACAACTGGGTCGAAATGGGACCGTTGCATTGTTGGTGTGGAAACTCCGAAATTGTTCAGAAGATGAGTGACAAATCGTGAACAATTTGCAACACTCTACCCGTCGTCATGTATACTAACCGTGTGGACTGGTTAGTCAAGTGCTACATTTACCTGAAATGTTTTAATGTCATGGCTTGCCAGTCCTCCCGCCGATCAAGATCATTACAGTACATCATGGTAGTTAAATCAAGATCAGATCCTGGGTTTTGATTCTTTTGTTCAGACCTCACACTAGTATGCACTTCCTGGTTGGTCTCAGTATATTTGTGTGCCTTTCTGATAGCCCAGGTCATCTTCTTCATGTCCAATTTAAAAGATTCTATATTGAATGTTACTATTGTAATAGCACCTTATATATCTCTCTATGGTGCTTTGCATCACTCTTGGTGTGGTTTACAATGTCAGCATATTGCCCCCAACAACCTGGATCCTCATTTTATCGAACATGGAAGGATGGCAGGCTGAGTCAACCTTGAGCCAGTCAGGATTGAACTCCTGGCAGTGAGCAGAATTAGCCTGCAATACTGCATTCTAACCAATGCACCACCAGGGCTCTTGTAGCAATAGCCCTTAGGCTTATACACCACTTCACAGTGCTTTACAGACCTCTCTAAATGATTTACAGAGCCCCAGCCTCTTTCCCCCAACAATCTAGGCCCGTATTTTACCGAACATGGAAGACTGAGTCAACCTTGTGCCTGTCAAGATCGAACTCCTGGCAGTGGGCAGAGTTAGCCTGCAATATTCTAACCACCACGCTACCACAGCTACTGAATTGACGGTAAGGCAAAGGCCAAGATTAATGTCATTTATACAAGGGCATCTGTCCTATCTTTGTCATAAAGCTCTTCTTTCTTTCCTACAAACCCAAACAAGGCAGCTTGGAGCCCGTAAAATATCTCCGTTCCTAACATTCAAGCCAGCAAATTCATCCGGATGACACGCTTTGCTTTGAATCTGCTTTTCTCAATGATATGAGATGAAGCTGTTGCCATAGAAATGCACGAATTTGGAATCGCTGACTTCCACGTTCCACCCTGGCCTCTGAATTGAATCCAGTCACTGCTTTTTTTTTTTAGAAAGGGTCCCAATTAATATATCTTTCAATCTCAAGGAATGCCATCACGGCTTTACTGATGAATGTATGGGTGCGATGCTGGCATTTGCTTGGAATTGGTTCTTTTGTTGTTGTTGTTGCTCCCTGGCCCAAAGTTGATTGCACAAAGCTCTTGTGGTATTCTGGTTGCAGCTTTCGAAGGCAGATCGCTCCCTTCCTCACTCTTAACCATCTCCCTTGTAATTTTTTTGGTTGGGACTTTTCCTGTGTGAGAATCCCCGCGTTGCCAGTTTCCTTTGCTTTGCCATTAATCTCCTTGCTATCAAAAGCAACGTATAGATCTCTTCCCCTCATGATGCCCTTGGGTAAGTGATATGAATCTTGGCCTTCGCCTGGTTGTCAGCGTTCATAAGTTAAGAACCCAGCATACGACTCCATGCAGGGCGGAATCGCCAAGTTTAGGAGGCCCGATAGCAACCGTTGCTATTTGTAGGCCGTGAGTGGATCCTGTTCCCATTCCATTGCCTTGGTTGGAAGGCCTGTTCTGGAATAGCGCACCAGTGGAAAATTTAAATATTGCAAAGTAAGTGACTCGTAGCAAGGTATTGGGAGTGCCTGAAAAAGCAGCAGATTTCTGATTTTGTTGCTGTTGCAGTTATGTACCTCACATACTAAGTAGTACGCAGGACAGAATGAAAGACAGCATGAAAAAATCAGTGGGTGTCTCCTTGCTTTACACCGCCTTATCTTCCCTGCCTTGGACATCCCATTCACTGTTAAGTGAAAAAAAAAAGCCAGAAATTGAAAGCTTGTTTAAAAATGTTTTGTTCCAGAATACAGAGCTGCGTTCATGGTTTCTTTTAAGCCAGCCCCCCCCCCTCCCAAACCTTTTGGGCATCAGGGACCGGTTCCGTGAAGAGAGGGGGCGCGGTTTCGTGTGCTGCCTGCATCCCGCAGATGGGGCTTCACTTTCTTGTGCGGACCAGTTTCTGGCAATGCTATGGACCGGTGCCGGTCCATGGACTGAGGGCTGGGAACCCCTGTTTTAAGCCATGGTGTGTTTTTACCATGGTTCACAGAATCAGTGGTCGGATCCATAGGTTATTTGAAGATGAAACCAGATTAAATGATAAAAATGACTCCATGTTCTCCAAAAAGTTCAGGAAGTCACCTGGACATTTTGGCCAACTTTCCACAGGATATAAATGAGAGAAATTAGTAATGTGCATTCCATAGACTTTTGCTAACTCTTTTTCCACTTCTGTTTCCTCTTTCATAGTTGGGCAGTGAGCTTACATATCAAGGTTGTGGGGGGGGGAAAAAAAAGGTTTAGCCACCTCTAAGCTTATTTTTCCACAATCTTGATATGTAATTTTTTCGTTACAGAAACCTTTATTTTTCTGTTGTGAATCCCCTGTGTTGAGAGTCCGTTCAGTTGGGCAGCTTGGAAACATGACAATAAATTCAAAGGCAAAAACAAAGAAATGTATTTTTGGAGGCCTTAGGAAGCGGGGGGTGGAGAGCATTCCCCGATGAATCTCCCTGTCTTTTAAAAAAGATATCATTTCTGTGAACATTTTAATACACTACCCTCCTGTGTTTTGAGTTTCTTCCTCAGGCCCTTTTTATTGCCACCTCTGGTTCTTCCACTGGATGTTGAGCTTCTGAAAAACCAATCCATAATTCAGGAGCCTTTTATCTCCGTATTATAACATGCATTTCCAAATAGGTTTAAACGCCCTGCTGCGAACTTCCCAGGAGCCCTGGAGCTTTGTATTACTGACGTGTGTCAGCTTTTTTTGTGGGGCTCTGATGGAGGGGAGGGACCTGGTTGATCTTCACTGCAGTTCAAAGAAGAATTCCCCAATCCGGAAATTCTCATAGGATGGCCTAATTTTTGACTTCTTATCTCTCTCCCTGCTTTCTGTGGATCTTTTTTTTTTTTTTTTACAATTCTGACTCCCAAGTTTGGCACACTCTAGAAAGTGCTTATCTGCTGCCTTGCAAATCTGTTATGTCAAATGTTATCCCCCCCCCCCAATATGTCTCTAATTGAATTTGATTCATCGTTGTTCGGCAGTTGTGAATAACTGATCAGGACCGAGTGTCAGTAACTGCATCTTGGAGTTCTTGTAAGTTTATGCTTGTGTCATCAGCAGTAGTACCGTATCTGTTTTCTAATGAGATCTCTCTTTTTTAATGCTTTTGATTTTTCCAAACATTTTCCAACCATTCCAGTGACTCTTGTGCTACTTTTGGTTGTCTTATTTTATTATTTTTGGGGGGTGGCGAGTATAGCAGTTGTGAGCCACCTGGAGTTGTGCTTCTTAATATGGGTGGCCATGTAAGTCTTATAAATAAATATCCATGAATTCAGCTACTGAATAGCTCACCAGCATTTCAAAACTGGAATCTGGTAAGAACTTCGGATGACTTCCCACAAGAACCAGTATGAAACTCAAGCTAATAGAATGGCTAATAAAATGAAACAAAATTAAGAAACCCACAGGATTCGAACTGTATTATTTAGCAGTTGAGAAGTCTGCCAAGCAATACTGGTTCTATTTATTTGAAAGATTTATTTATATAGCCCCCAACTCAAACAAAGGTGGCTCTTTTGAGGACAGTATTACCATTGTTTACGATAGTTCTTGGCACTCTCTGAACTTAGTTATTTTCTTGCAGACGTTTCATTACCCAGCTAGATAACACCTTCAATGTATGACATTTTTGCACATCACATTTGTAATAGAAATATCTTTCATGGGTCACGTTTTGGAAGGCAAGTTTAGTAAAGTATTCAGTAGAAAATAGGAATTTTATATTCTTTGCCCTGATTTTTCCTCAGATGGTAAATGTGTATGTTTGTTTCTTTCAGGTATCCTGAATCCAAAGAATCCTAAAGAAGCACCAAAATCCTTCAGCTTTGACTATTCGTACTGGTCCCATACCTCGGTAAGAATGCTGGTTTGTCTTGAACCCAGATTCCTTTTGAAAGTGTGATACAAGCCGATGTAGCCGAAGGGTGGTTATTTCTCTCTTTCAGCCCTCCAGCCCACAGCTGTTTTTCTCTTCTGATTGTATTGCGATTTTTAGCTGTTTGAGAGCCAAGGTTCCCCTTGATCCAAATGCCTTTTCCAGCCTGGGATCAGAAATATTACATTTCATAGGAGGTATAAGTGTGTCCAAGGATAGCTTTGCAGAGAGAGAGGATTAGCTCGAAGCAGCTCCGAGGAGGAATTTGAACGGCAAACAATTTCCATGTAGGAATCTATGTATAAACTTCCCCTCGGAGTGTTTATAACTCCGTTAAAAGAAGAGTTTTCAGTTGCTTAGCTTAGCTGCTTCCCCCACACCCGCCCCATTTCGCTCCCAGTAGACAAAACCATGAAAGCAGACTGGCCCTGAAGACCCCATATCCCTTGTGGAAGCTACAGCCAAGATATTTACTGACTTCCAGCAATTGTTGGATTTTGAGGTATCGCCATCAGTTGTTCTCCGATGATCAAAATGATGAAAAATGAATCTTCCTATTCACAGCGCTTTGGGCCCTGTGATTTATCCAGAAAAAGAAAACCTGTACATTGGATAGAGCAGGCGACTAAATATTTTTTGCTTTGCCTGTAGATAAAAATGTTAAATCTCCACCGAACCCACCTACTGTTTTCTTTAAATCAAACAGAGTAGGAGTTTCCCATATAAGTTATCCCAGAAAACAAAAGAAATCAGGAAAAGATTGCAGCGAAACCTTCTCGGAGACACCCATATGTTGCCCTTGAGATAAAGTAAGCTACTGCACAAGAAATATATTTGCTCATGAATGACTCACAAAGGAAATGGATAGCCTTGTTAGGTGGAATATCCTTTTTTTCCAAGTCTTTTGGAAATATTCTTAAAACTAATATCCCAAATAATGGGAACCACGAAGCTTGAGTATCTTCCCTTGAAACTGAGTTTTGAAAACAGTGCTTAGATGGACGGTTTTTGCCCAGACAACTTTCCAGTACACAACTCCCAATAGCTGCCAATTCCACCCTTTAAAGCAGCATGTCCAACTTCTTTTGTGCTTGTTAAAGGAGCTTTGTCTGTTTCCAGAACAATACGGTGGCAGTCTGCATCTAATGCCAGATAACGTAGCTACTAATTATGACATTCTTTCCTAATGTCTCAGTATCACCCATGTAACAAAGAAATAACAATATTGACTTTACTGGGTTATTGAAAAATCTGATGTTTATTAAGGGCATTGCTGGACTTTCCCTCCTCAATCCCCTTGAAATTCCATGTCCAATCCTCTAAACTCCCCCGCTTCTTTTTCCTCACTTCTTTCTCTTGTTAAATAAGTAAACATGTTGATTTCCTATATTTTTATATAGGAAATAATCATGGTTGAGCGATCATCTTGTTTGGAGACATTCTGCTTCGTTTATTCCTTCAGTGGGGAAAAAATATGTTCTCCTGGTCAGCTGTTGCTCCAAATTATGTCCCACTTAAAGGCTTTATTTATTTTTTAAATGGCACTTCCTCCCCCATTTTTTGAGCTTGCTTGCCTTCTTAAAGCCTTTTGTCTGCTTTTATTTTTCCTTGGCAAAGCTGGTAAAACACAGCTGCCATTTGAACTGGGGTGTCTGGCTCAGGCGCCAGTTTCTGTCCCTTGATATTTTTCAATTAAGGCCTGCTTGAAAGGTTGGCAATAAAGGTTGGGTGGGACTGGCACTTCTTTAAGCTGGCAACACTCCGTAGCTCACAGAATACTCCAGAAATAGTAATATGGAAAGATTGGAAACTGGAGAACCCCCTTTGATAGTAAACTCAGAAGCACTTGATTCTCAGCCGAGGCATTTGTAAGGGTTTGACTTGATATTAAGAATTTGAACCCTCTAGTACACACAGAAATAGTAAAATGTGGCTATACGATAGTAATTTCACGGCTTGTCCTCTGTTATCACCTCTTCATTAAGTCTTGAGAGTTAACAAGGTTGATACTATATGGTACAAAGCTATTACAGAATCTAGTTGTCAGAGGACAAGGCATCAACACACACACACACACACACAGAGTCCTTGACTTATGACCATGGTTGAGCCCAAAATTTTTTGTTGCTGAGACATTTGTCAAGTGAATTTTGTCCCATTTTACGATCTTTCTTGTCTCAGTTGTTAAGTAAGTCACTGCAGTTGGTAAGTTAGTAGCCTGGTTGTTAAGTGAATTGGGCTTCCCCATTGGCTTTGCTTGTCAGAAGGTTGCAGAAGCTGGTCACATGATCTTGGACACAGCAGCAGTCATAAATATGAACCAATTGACCATCTTCTGAATTTAGATCACACGATCGTGGGGATGCTGGAAATGTCATCACTCTGAAAAATGGTTGTAAGTCCATTTTTTTTCCAGTGCCGTAACTTTGAACAGTTACTAAGTGAACTATTGAAAGTCGAGGACTACCTCTGTGTATGTGTGCATCAGAATTTCATGTTTTAATGTGTGCCAATGTGTTCACAGAAAAAAAAAAGTGACAGTAAAGGTTATCTTATCTGAAATCCCCACAGCCTGAGGATCCTTGCTTCGCCTCTCAAAATCGTGTCTACAATGACATTGGGAAAGAAATGTTGCTCCATGCCTTTGAAGGCTACAACGTCTGTATCTTCGCCTATGGCCAAACTGGAGCCGGAAAATCTTACACCATGATGGGGAAACAGGAAGAGAACCAGGCAGGGATCATCCCACAGGTAAACTGGATCCTTGCTTGTTTTGCAGGTCCCAAATACTCTGTTTTTTGCATCAGCCTTTCAAAAGCTTGCAGGATTTCCCAGCTTTTCCCTTCTGCCAACAAATGTTGCCTCTGCGTAATGAAAAGGGCAGCATATGTATATTTATTTATTAAATGAATTTAAAAATGCTTCTGTCTCCTTCCAGATTGTGTGTTTGTGACAATTTGGTGGTTGGTTGTGAATGTTGAATGCCTTTTCCTGCTTAAAATGTGGCCTCTGAACAATGCTTAGGTCAGAAAAGTGTATCCAACTACTTCCGGATTTTGTTTTCATTACTTTTGCAACTGTTTTTCTGTTCTATTTGTTTATTACTTTGCACTTCTTAGTAAAGTTAGGATACATTGTACGCACTTTGAAGAAAACATTGAAACGGCAGACTCCTTCAGGTGCTTTTGTCTTTTGTCCATCTGTCTTCTTAATATAATTTCAAAAGGCAGTGCTGTTCTGGGACAGAGAGACAGTATTTTCCAGTCTGCAATATTGAGTTAGTTGAGGTGGGGTGTGGGGAGCATAAGAGAAGTTGGAAGAGCAAAGGCTAAGCTCGTATAGCTGTTTTTGTGAATAGTTGAGCCGAATAGTCTTTCTGCTCTAGGAGCAGGATCAAAAATGCTTGGCCCATGTGTCCGAAAGCGTGTCAGCCATCTGATAAAACCAAGGAGAAATCTGATCAGGGCTTGGTTCAAGCGTATGGATTAGATAACATTCTAGCCAGGTTTTCATTGCTAGCGGGGGGTGGGTGGAAATCAAAGAACCCGAAATTAAATTGAACCCCGAGTGAAGGCTGGTCCTGCCCCTTGCTGATTCACAAACAATTTTGCCTGAAACAGTAAGCAGCTCTGTATCTAAATTGGTTTCAGCAGCTATTTCTGCGGGTCACGAATTGCAAATTAAAAACAGACAAGTTAGAAAAATCTGATTTTGGTACACTTCATCACATCATAGTTAGTGATCTTAACGTCTGCTTGAAAACTGAACAAGCTTGTGTTTTGTTTTGGGTGTGTGTTGAACAAGGACCGGTCACAAATTGAAACGACCCGCTACCTAGATACAACTGTCACACCTTTATTGAAATCTGTAGATTGTGGTGTTTTTGATTGAAATGGTTTTTGTTTGATCTGTTGCTCACTCAAGTTTCTGCCCTGCATTTGTAAGAAAGGAAGCCATGGCAAATATTTAAAGCTGTTTCTTTTGTATGTTGTAATTTATTTTGAATATAAAATTAGGATTCCTGGTTCTGGGCTTTGAAAGCTTGGCATACACAGGGAATTCCTTTATACTTCAGAGGTACAAGAAGGGGATAAGGAAGAAATGGGAATCCCGAGAAACCACGACTTACGGGAGCTATTAAAAGTATTCAAACCAATAAAAATACAAAGGATTCTTCTACAAATAAGTTGTGGTGTTAATGCTTTATGCCGGAATAGAGAAGATTTCGTATAATGCTCCAACACTAGAAGTTTTTAAGAAGAGATTGGACAACCGTTTATCTCAAATAGTATAGGGTTTCCTCCTTGAGCAGGGGTTGGACTAGAAGACCTCCAGGGTCCCTTCCAACTCTGTTCTGTATTCTGTAATCATCACCATTTGGAGATACAACCCACGTTCCTAATGTCAATGATCTTTTTTTTAATTTATTTTTTATTAAGACTTGTATGCCACCTATTTCTCCGAGGCAACTCTTACCTATTTGAGTTTTGAAGGCCCGCTTCCTCCTTTTACTCAAGCTGCCTTCCCACTTCGGTCACCACGAGAAGCTATACAAAGTGCCAACAGGCTTTACCTCTCATGAATTTTGGCCGGCCGGCGCTAAACTAGGAACCTGTCAATGCATTTTGGAGCGGGTGTGGTGGCAGTGGCTGGGGTGGCATTGTTCTATCTAGCCCAATATCCTAGTTCTCCTTTCCGCGTAACTATAGCTTGATGCTTCTCCATTGCTTCCTAGCTGTGCGAAGACCTCTTTGAGAAGATCAATGACAACAGCAACGAGGAAATGTCTTACTCCGTGGAGGTAAGCGGGGGGTGTCTGTACGCACGAAGACATTGACCTGATGGAGATTCAGATTCAAGTTTGGTTTTTATTTTCCCCCAACAGTGGTTTCACAACTTCTGGCCTTGAGCCTTAAAAGCGCACAGGAGCCTTTCCTTATGAGAAGCTCGAAACCACCCTGATAATGTGTGGGAGAGGTGAATGGCTGGGTCGGTTTTTTTTTTTGCTTTCTGGATACGAGGGTAGTGGCGGAGAGCCCCTTTTAGCTGCTTGGAGAGGAAGCACATGGGCGGGAGGTTGTGGATGGAGGCTTGGAGGGAGGAGGTGGGCCCAAGAATGTAGACCCTCAGAAGGCAGCATAATGGGTGGGGCTGTGCCTGAATAAACATTACCTTCCTGTTAACACAAGGCCTTTCCAGACCGAATTCACAAAGCCACTTTGCTGAAACCCAGGCTGTGTCAAAGTAGTACGTTGCTGGGGGGGATTTAGTCTTGTGTTTTGCTAGCTCTCCTTTCTCGAAGAAAACAGAGCTTCTGCTAAGCTCTCTGCAGCTTGCTGGCCTCCAAGGAGTTTGGGGTGAATGTAGATTCCACGTGGGAAAGAATAGAGTAGAATAGAATTCTTTATTGGCCAAGTGTGATTGGACACACAAGGAATTTGTCTTGATGCAAATGCTCTCAGTGTACATAAAAGAAAAGATACATTCATCAAGAGTCAAGAATCATAAGGTTCAACACTAGGAAACAGTCAATATAATTTTTTTTTAAAAAAGCAGTGTATTTTCTTCTGGAGCTTGCCCAAGATGGAGCATTCTGCTTTTCTTTGGCCCCAATCATTCTTCTTCTTTTTTTTAAAAAAAAGTCCAAAGAAATATCAAGAGATATTGCATTTACTTTAGCCTGTCATAATATAAGGCAGGGGTCTTCAAACTTGACAGCTTTAAAAGACTTGTGGACTTCAACTCCCAGAATTCTTCCTCCAGTCATGGTAGCTCAGGAATTCTGGAAGCTGAAGTCCACAAGTCTTAAAACTTCCCAAGTTTGAAGACCCTTGATAGAAGGAGGTCTTCCATGTCCGCCCATTTTTTTCCCCTCTTCCTTACCCGCAACAACCGATATAAATGTTTCAGCACTATTTCTGGTTAGGGGGGGAAAAAAGTGCCTGGCCGGTGCCTTCATTTGCTTTGAACTGAGAATAGCAAGAGGAAAAGGATGTTCAGAGCCCTCGGGAGCAGCCCTCTGCTTCTTTGGGGAGGTGGCAGGGAATTGTTTTCCAGACTCTTGGGGTAGGAATTAGCCAGAGATAAGCCCAGGGGTCTGGCTGAGGAAAGCAACTGAGAAGAGAGAGAGAGGGACTGAGGTGGTGGATCTTGGATTCTCTCCTCTTCAGAAGAAGACAGTATTGGATCTTATTCAGGGGTCCATTGATCCTCTGATCCAAGAAGAGCATGAAGGCAAATCTCCCTCTCTCCCACCACCCTGTCTCTCTTTTTCTCCTTCTCTCTCTCTCCTTCTCTCTCTCCATCATTCTCTCTCTCTCTCCCCCTCCGTCTCCCTCTCTCTTTCTCTCCTCTTTCTCTCCTCTTTCTCCTCTCTCTCCATCACTCTCTCTGTCTCTCTCTCCCTCCGTCTCCCTCTCTCTTTCTCTCCTTCTCTCTCTCTCCTCTCTCTCCATCACTCTCTCTCTCTCTCTCCCTCCATCTCCCTCTCTCTTTCTCTCCTCTTTCTCTCCTTCTCTCTCTCTCCTCTCTCCATCACTCTCTCTCTCCCTCCGTCTCCCTCTCTCTTTCTCTCCTCTTTCTCTCCT